ATTATTTATGTTTGGTTTATGCAACTTTGTGTGTTAATTTATAGTGGTGTATATATAATGTTTCAAACCATCTAAATTCATAAGGGTTAATAGTTGATAAGATTATATTTATTAATTTTTATAACATCTATAATAACAACATTTATTAGGTCAATTTATCCTATACCTACACAATACACGTGTACCTATATAACTTTTTGCCATGTCAATACCTATTTTTTGTTTTTGTTGTATAGGTCGAATCAAGTAATGATTATCCCACCAAAAACATATATGTAAAATGAGAGCCAAGTTCAATACTATAATATATGCCTTGGTTGTTGACTTCAACGACAAAAGAAGTGAGATCTAAATGGGTGCCAAGTTAGGATAATATATTGAAGCCTAAGGTGTGACTTGGCTACTTTTCATATACGAATTATTATTATAAGTAGGTACCTACTAAAACAGTAATGGAAGAGTGAAGATGATTTTCCGAAGAATAAAATAAGAACTCAAAGCTTTAGAACTTGCAAATGCTATAATATATAATTCGTAGCCAAGTCAGACCTTAGGCTTCAATATATTATCCATAGGCGTAATTTCGCTAAAATTCAGGGGGTGCAAAACTAATCAGGAAAGTTACAAACTTTCTACAAAATTGCAAAATAGGTACCGCTTGAACATTTATTTACTACTTTTTCAATACCAGTTCCTCGATCAAAATTCAAAATTGTATACACAATTTAGTATTATCATTAATAATATGAAGTAAATACATTTTATTATATAAATTAAAATAATTAGTAGACACTGTAATTTATTACATTGATATAATATTAATACATATTAATTAACAAAATTAAATTAAACTTAAGCATCTACCATGTACAGTTGCTGCTACATTGAACTCGTCGATTACAATTTATTTCAGAATCTCTAACTCGATTTCTATCAATTTTTAAGTTGTAACATAGCTATATCAGACAGCCATTCTTGTCCCACAGTTGTTCTGAGGTAAGTTTTAAGCCTTCGTAATCAGGAAAAACTTCGTTTACAAGATGATAGTGTTTGTAGGTATTGTCATAAATAGTGTTAAAATTTCAGATAATAAAGGAGACTTATTTTTAATTTCACCTTGTTTCATATAATCTAATTTGTTTTAAAATACACTATTATTTGAGTTAGTTTGTTTAGATTTGAATATTCTAATAAAGATTTTTAGTTCTATTTGAAGTTCATGATTATAAAACTTATAGGTGTTACTAATAATGTCTAATAACGTTAACATTATTTTATAAATATTTAAAAAAATTGGCAAAATTATACATTATAAATATAGACAATTTAGGGGGTGCAAAATGATAGTTTTGCACCCCCTCAACAATTCCAGGGGGTGCAAGTGCACCCCTTTGCACCCCCGAGATTACGCCTATGATATTATCCTAACTTGGCACCCATTTAGATCTCACTTCTTTTGTCGTTGAAGTCAACAACCAAGGCATATATTATAGTATTGAACTTGGCTCTCATTTTACATATATGTTTTTGGTGGGATATCATTACTTTTTGTATGTAAATTATTATAACCTAACCTAACCTAGCCATGACGTATTCTATAAATAAAGTTTATTACTATATAATATAATTCAGTTACTAATATTAATAATAATATTTATTATAAAATATTTTCCGTTGTATATACAGAGTATAAAATATATGTAAAATTAATATACAATTATTTTAACTCTTTTTGAGTATATTTTTAATTATCATAATTTTATTCACTGTAGTTTCTACTGTTGGGTGGATAATTCATAATTTGTAAGAATAATTATTTAATTATTTTAATTGTAATATTTAAAAAAAATAATATTAATTAAATACATAGATAGAAAAAAAAGTATGTTGCTGCGCGCAGGTCGACAATATCGACACATATTCGGCTAGTCGTATTTTTGGAGTGGCGATACGGGAAAGGTTATTTAAGTCAACATTACATTAAATTAGAGGCAATTCATTAATAAATTGAAAAATTAAACATAATAGATAAAATAATTGCAAAATTATAATAAAATCAATTGATTAAAAAATTTAAAATTTAAAAATTTAAAATTAAAAATTTTCAAGTTTCTGATTTTTTCCTTTGTATTTACCTAACTACCTATCTGTATGCCAAATTTGAACTTTCTAGGTCATCTGGAACTGGGTTAGAATTTTGATCTATAGGTAAGTCAGTGATAAAAATGACGATTTTCGGATGTTAATATCTAAATAACGGTTTGAAGTATGTTTATGAAATTTAGAGCACATATGTATCTCGTTAGTCTCAATATATGAGCCAAATTTGACATGTTTATGTGGAATAGTTTTTGAGTTATGAGGGGGTCAAAAGTGGCTCCAAATGGTTCGTGTAATATTACACACGGTGCTGCTCGCCAGTTCTGTTAACTAGAACTTGGCTTGACACGCTACCGCGTGTCTAGATAATCTTTTTTCTGATGGAAATTTGAATAAAATATTAATGGCAGATGATATAAGTAGTGCCAGTTTCAATTATAACAATTCACATATAGATATTATAGGTAATTAAAAATATTATTATCTTTTCAAATAGCTGTAGAAATGTAGAATGGTTTAAATGTTTAATACCTGAATATATTATTGTGAACAAATTAATTTTATTTTAGAAGAAAAACATTAATTGTTCAAGCGCCACCACCAAGTGCAAGTTTTGGCAAAAATAATAGTGACATAATATCTGTACACAAAGAATTATTAGATATTAATGAATAATGATACATCTGATGAAACTACGAAGGAAATTGAGGTAAAGTGTAATTATTAATACTTGTTGATAAGTATTAATTGTGAATTTAGTTTTATATATTTTATATAGAAGGAAAATAATGAAGTAAAAAATATTTTAATGAACTATCATGAAGGGCAAATAATTCTAAATCATTTAAAATTCTCCGATATACTACAGCCATCAATGAGGAACAAAATGGCCCATATTATCATAACACAAATGTTACAGAATAGTTCTGATCAAAAGTTAACAACATTTGAACTTAAAAAAATCACTTAATGAATTATTCAAATGGTTGTGCTAATACAGTTAATGTATTATTTACTATGTATGTCCATCTAATGATGATATTTTTTTTGTTTTTACTTATGACATTTTATGGCTGAAAAATAATGTCTCACCCTGGAATTTAGTAGAAGACAAATGGAACAGAACTTTTAACTATCGGTATAAAATATTGTTAGAGAATGACCAAAAAAATAAATATTTTGATGATTATCCTGCAATAAAAAGTGCTAATGGATTTGCTCTTGTTAGTATTCTTTGATTATCTTAAGAATGATTTTTCAATTTAAATTTATGTTTTATTAAATATTATAGATAGAAATAGATTTCAATAACTTATATCCGAATAAAGACATGATGTTGTTTGTTCAATTTGAAACATTTAAGAAAAGTCTAACATTGTATATCAAAAAGTTTAAAACAAATATTTGTCAAGACTTTCCTATGTTAATGGTAGAATTAGAATTTCCTCAAAAACCTGGTAATATAACGTACTATACCTATTAATTTAACCTTTCAATCAGTGGCGCCGAACTCATATATCATGTGAAGCGTTCGCTTCACTTCTTAATGGGTGGGTGGGTAGGTGTTTATAGCCTTATAGGTAAGTTCTAGGGAGTAGTGGTTAATGGGTAAACAAAGTTACATAAGGTGTCCTGTGTTCAGAAGTTTTAAGTTTAAGTGGGTGGGTGGGTGGGTGGATAAAAAATTCTAGATTTCGCTTCACAAAAAAATTCTGAGTTCGGCGCCACTGCTTTCAATATATATATTGTTGTTTTTAGTATAGTATAGATAATTTAAAAAATGTTGTGATTGATGTACTATTATAAATAATAATATTTTTATTACTATTGTCAGTTTCATTCTGGAATAAAAGAATTATATAAATGTGAAAATTTAACATACAAATGCTGCACAACCTAGTAATAATTAGTAAAATAATACATGAATTTCAATGATTTTAATTTTTAGGTAATTATGAAATTGTTACATTAAAATTGTTTGTAGAGTTATTCAATCCAGTTAATGTATCATGTAAACGTTTACATGGTAACACAGCAAAAAAAAATTATTGGAGGCCTTCTAAAGCTGAAATAAAACAAGGATTTATTCACTATGCTAATGTAATTATTTTTTTTATCATATTTAATTAATTAAATACTCAACTTATATGCATGTATGATTATCTCGTTTTAGAATATTTCTCAATTGAAAGAAGTTGATGATATTAAATTAGAAAAAGCTCAACGATTGGATCAAACTGTTCAGCCATATTTACTATTTATTGGTGAAGGATGTGAAGACAAAGATAATGTCAATGTTACTGCTTTTTATGTTGTGATTAATCACCAGTTTTTAAAATTGGAATCTCCTCTTAAAGCCCTTGAGGTATGTTTTAAGTCTTTTTTTTGTATGCACTTAAATTATCCTGCCGAAAGTGACCAAATTTGGCAGTTCATTCAAAAGTATTTTTTTAACATGAACACTAACTTTGATAAAAATTACCAAATGGTAAACATTTTTATAAATGATTTGAACAAATGTTAATTGTTATTAATTATTATTATTCTATTGTACAATGGGTTTTATATGTTTTATTTGTTTTAATAATTTTAATTTATATTCAGATTTATTGTTACATCTTAGGTTATTTCATTCATATGACCTTATTACTGATTATAAATGTTTAGTAGATGACTGTTTACGAACCTTTAATACACTTAACTCTTTTGGAAAACATATCAAATGTCATCAGACAATTGACAAACCAAATGCATTTCATTGCGTTCAATTTTTAAATAAAATAACACATAATAATAACAATAACAATCATATTGATGAGCCAACTGATGAAACTGATGTTACTGATGAAACTATTATAACTATAAATTCCTTTAAAGATAATGTGCATAATGAATCAATTATGTTTATAAGTAAATGGTACAATGAATCTGTAATACCAAAAAATAAAGTACAAACTATAATTAGTGATGTAAGTATGATGCAAGAAATGAACATTAGTATATTAAAAAATGAAGTTTTAAACATCCTAAATGAAAATAAATGTGAACTAAATTCCATTTCAAAAATAACTTCTATGTTTGATATCATTCAAAATCCATTTGATAAATTAGAATTTGAATTTTTGCGTTTAAAAAAGTTGAAACAATTGGGAGTGTATATTACACCAATAGCCGTGCATATAGGTAACAGATTAACCAATAACACTAAAAATGATTCTACAATAATGCCAAATAAAGATATTTACATTTATTATATACCTTTGGATGAAGTTTTAAAAATATTTTTGGAACAGCCTAATGTATTTGAAATTATAACAAATAACTTGGAAAAATTGTTTTCTTCTAATGGAGATATTATATGTAGTCTGGTTCAATGTAATATATAGAAAAAGGATCGTAAAAATTATCCTAGTAAAATAATAATTCCATTTCTTCTCTATTTTGACGATTATGAAACCAATAGGATCGCATGAGGTTAAAAAAAAAACTTGGAGCTATTTATATTTCTTTAAGTCCTTGCTTACCTTACGAATTCAGTTCTACTCTTGATTATATTTTTCTTGCTTTAATTTTTAATTCAATAGATATTTCAAAAATTAATTTCATCTATAAAATATTTAGAAAACAGTGGAATTGACATTACCGTACAAAATAAAAACTATAAAGTCTGCTTTAAAATGGCTCTAATTTTAGGAGATAACCTTTGACTTCATTCTATTTTTAATTTTTCTGAAAGTTTTATGGCCAATTATCCCTGCCAATTCTGTAAATCTAGTAAATTATAATGTAATTTTTCAACAGTCGAAGATGTTAGCAAATTAAGAACTAAAGAAAATTATTGTAATGACTTGGAAATAAATAATTTATCATTAACTGGCGTAAAAGGTCCTTCAATTTTGAATGAACTTTCTGATTTTCATGTTACAAGCAACTTTTCTGTTGACATAATGCACAATGTCTTAGAAGGTGTCTGTAACTATGATTTGTCATTTATTTTATTAGCATTTATTAAAGATTTAAAATATTTTTCTCTGGATACCTTAAATAATCGAATTCAATATTTTATCTACGGTTTAATTGATGTTCAAAACCGTCCCCAAATGAAATCATTAGATTTTTAAAAAAAGGTAAAATAAAGATGTCAGCCAGCGAAATGTTTTGTTTTATTAGATTTTTCGGCCAAATAATAGGAGATTTAATTCCGAAAACGTCTGAATTTTGGGAAGTCTTTGTCATTTTAAAACAAATTGTAGATATCATTACTTCAAAATATATTCAAAAATAATGTTATATATTACTAAAGACTCTGATCACCGAGCACGATATATTATATTTAAAACTATTCAATTGTAATTTAAAACCTAAACACCATCACTTATTACACTATCCAAGAATTATGAATGAAGTTGGCCCTTTAATAAATATTTGGTCTATGCGTTTCGAATCGAAACATAGAGAATTAAAAATAAATGCTAATGCTATTACTAGTAGGAAAAATATTTGTTTGACTTTAAGTAATAAACACCAGTTAAAACTTGCTTATAAATTGTTATCAAAAAATTGTTTTTCTTCTACCATAGACATTGGACAGACTATGAAATTATCAAAATATACAATAGATAAAATTATATCCCAAATAGATTCTTCTTTTTTAATCTTTAATAATTTAAACTTAAATAACTGTAAATATATTACATGGTTCAAAACAAAAGGAACTCGCTATGCTTGTAATATGTCATAGTACTTGATTTTAAATATGTTCCCATATTTGCTATAATTAAATATATATATGTTGTTGATAATAATCCTTTTTTTCTGTATCATAAATATGAAACAATAAAATTTGATGATCATGTACAAGCTTGGGAGATTACTTTAACATCATATTTATTTTTTTTGTACATCATTTAATAATTTACCAAGTTTTCAAAACCCGTGTACCTCTTCCCCTAATAATAAAGGAACGTTGTATATAATGTTTAAATCCTAATAATTTGTATATTATTATATGTATTGTTTTTTTATTTACTATTTATAAAATATAGTAAGTATGTAGAAGATATAGGTAACTAATCAATATTTGACAACAATGTGTGATGTATCACCTGTCCTATACGGGTTTAGTTAACCACCTAGTTATGTAGTACAATGTAAACATACTTGACACATTAGTAGGTACATACTTTTTTTAAATCTGCCTGAAGTAAGTATTAGGTACTTTACTAAATTTGTAAACTTAATCCCTTACACAAAGTTAAATAAAAAATAATTAATAAATAAAGATGGATCAACCACACATTTTAGTTGATTTCATGATCCAAACAATACATTTTAATCCACTAAATGGGTTTAGATTTACGAAATAAATAGTTAAAATCACTTTTTTTTAACTAGTGTGCATAGTTAAATAAAATAAAACTTAAGTCGGGCTTACTAAACAGTTTAGTTAATCGGATAATTCAAAAGGTTGATTATATTAATTATAAACTAATATATTGGTTGAACCAACTATACTATATTTAGGTAGAGAAATCCTATGTAATAGTAACATACAGTGGCGCCGAACCCATGTATTAGGTGTGGCAGCCGCCACACCTATTTTAAGGGGTGGGTGTACAACCAAAATTGGTGGATAATCGTAATCCTAAGTGTAAAAAGATGTTGTACAAATATAAGAAAGATGACTTCCTAGTGTGTCGCAGTGTGCAGTGTGTACTATGTGATAACATTAGAAATAGCCAATAACTAATAATTTAATTAATAGTTTTACCATTAAAACATAAATTCTATTTTCAAATTTCTACTTCAGCATCTTGTCTGATAGGGAAGTGAATCAAGTTGATACTTTGTTGAGTCAAAAATCAAAAGTAAAAAAGTTCCCAGTAATTTTCAAAAGCGTCGTGAAAAACAAAAAAAAAAATTAACAAATATAAAAGTAATTTTTATACAAAACCAGTTATCGACAAAATCGATTGTGTTTTTCTGTTGTAACTCAAAAATGACTAACCGTAAAAACTTTATATTTTAACAAAATTTTTATATAATATATACCTAAGAATTTTCATGAAAGATATTTCCTACAAGATATTCAAAATATATAGACTCTTTTTGAGCATTAAACATTTTTATTTTTAATTATCATCGATAAATAATTTTCTTTCTCGGTCAAGTTGAACACAGATCCACAATATATTATTTTCAATATGGGTCTAAAGTTGAAACTTAAACAAAATTCATTTAAAATTAAGAAAATTAAAAAATTTTCGACTGTCTACCAAAGAAAAGTTAAAAGAAAACCTTACCAGAAAGTCACATTAATTTGTGTTGAGACTTAACTAGATAAATGTATGTATAAAATGTATGCTGTATGATGTCAAAAAATCATTGGGGGTAAAATAAATGTTACCCCCTCTCGAATAGGTAATTGGGGCAACACTGAAAACTATATGCCACGGACCTTACAAAACATAAACTTTAGGTTATCTACATTGTGGGCAACATCTTATAAGTTATATTCATATTATAACCTCCCTGCATGACGAGCAAACAATTTTCTTTTTTTTCGCCTAAAATTCGATTTCAGACCACTGTGCGTCGCCTACGACTGAAATAACTCATTTTCTGCCCTTTCCACATAATATACCCAATACCTATTACCAATATTACCTACCTACTATTGTCAATAACTTCAGTGACGTTATATATTTATATTTATAATTATTATTATATTATTATGACGCATAATGACCTAGATGTCGATGAATTTAAGATCAATAAAAAAAAAAAAAACTCTGTCGTACAAAAAATTGATAATATTATGCTGTGGTGGCTAGTACATAAAAAATAAATATAATATTATGTGTAATATAATAATAGGTTAGGTTCTGTTAACTGCTGGCTACAAATATTATTATTATTATAATAGGAAGCTGGTGACTAGTATATTGTTTATTGTTGACAACGATTATTATTATACACTGTGTGAATGTTTAATCGAATAGATTTAGTTTATTTATATTGTAATATTTCGACAGTGAATATTGTTTTAATAATTGTATCCAATAAGTCTTTAACTTTTTTGAATTTTGGTATTTATATATAGTGTTTAAAGTAAAGTAATGTTTTCAATTAATTTAATTATTTTTCCTCGACTTAAAATAGCTGTCAACAGTCTAACACAGTACTTAGCACACTAAGTTTCACATGTGAAGTGATTTCGTCAACCAATTAAGATGTGGCTGCAGGTCGTAGTTATGCTAAGTTATAGTTGCAGTTAGTTTCTGTTTTACCTGCGTTAATATTACTTATAAATAATTATTTAAAATAAGGTAATTATTTATAGGTACCAATGCAGACTCTAAAAAATTTAAAATATTTTAGACATTATAATATCAGGTCTATAAAAAATGTATGTAGGTACTTTAAGTATTTGATTATGATTTTAACTACAACAAAAATATGAAGGTAAATTTAATTCAAAACTGGTGTTGTGTAAATATTTCTGTTTTACCGCTGTTTTTTGTTGCCTAGTTGTTACCTATTATTTGCAATAGTTAAATAGATAGGTATAACTTATATTTATAAAATATATTTTAACCTTGTTTTGAACTTTTAGTTCTTATCTATAAAAGTTGAACATTATATACATTTTTAAATACAAAATAATTTGATTATGTTTGAGCGATTATGATGGATTTTGTCAAAATTTGAATTTAAAATGCTTACGAAAAAATGTATGCCTTTAATCTTTATATGTTCATTCATTTTGAACTTCTGATATGGGTAAATTTTCAAGATTTTGATTCAGCAAAAAAAATTATTTAACGACCACAATTTTAAAAAAAATCGAAAAGGAGGTCTTATAGTTGTAATTTATCATTTTTGAAAAAATACCTAATAAGTAATAACCGGTACACATTTCATTATTAGGTAATAACTGAACATAAATGGACCTATTTAATTTTCTTTTTTTTTTCATTTATACTGTCACACTCTGTATACTAGATACGTTATACGAATATACATAATTATTAATTTGAATGTTTACATTAAAATTATATTTGACTATGATCCATTGATCCTATACCTAGTTTATTATTTCTATGATTAATTAATAGTTAGGTTAACTGTTTAAGTCTTGCTAATACCAAATAACATAACGTACCTAGTCTAATATATTTTAACTATATTTCCGAAACATTAATTTTCTAAAATATACAAGTATCTATATTAAAGCCTTTCAAAATCACCTTTTAAATATGACGGTCAAGTAATTTTAATATTTGATTTTATCGATGTGGCAACGATCAACAAATTATTAAATCTACACTAATCTGTATATACTACTACTGTATTTTACTACTCAGTACTATTGCTATATTAAGGATTGTAATATTGTATACAATTTGCTGACATGTCAAATGTTATAAAATATAATACATTTGCAAGAATTTAAACTGGTAAATATAATATAAACATATAATAATAACATACAATTTAACGTGGATGGTATTAGAGTTCATTGAATGGTGACCTGGTGAATCGCGGTGATTGGACGCAGTCACTAATATAATGTGTGCAGAGGTCGAGCAGGCTCCCAGATGGGTGACCACCAGGGTTCTTTGCGACGATCTATCTGCCTCACATAAAAAACGCGTACCAACCTTAGCCGCCACACAAACCGAATGGAGTGTCAAAAAAACGAAGTTCATTTTATGATTTATTTTTGAGCTTCTCGCATGACATATAGTGAATTGCAAGTTAAAAATAATGGTGTGGAATATTGTCCACAGTAAAAACTAGCTAATAACAATGTAGCTTGAAGTCTTAAAAACAATGATACTTTAACCTCCTATAGTTATTTACCCAAAGACTTCTCAATTGGCTGTGATGAAAATAGTGTTTGCATCTTTTTATCTGCTAGTCAGCAATGTCAAAAAAAATAAAACACTATATGTTTCTTTAAATTTAAATAGTATTCGTTATAAATGTAGTAAAATGTATAATAGTATAATAATTTGAGATTAATTGATATTTTTTTCTCAAATTAAATCTAAATTGACAATAGCAATGAACACATATTTAAATTATTAAAAAAATAACCGTCTAGTTTAAGTCGTGATAAAATGTATTTGTTGTAATTTGTAGGATGATTTATCGGTGGTGGGTTATTGGTGGTTGTTGGTTGACATCCCACCGCTTGATGCCCGATGCCAATTCTATTACTATTATACAGACAGTATCCATTATAATATAAATATTGATATACTTCAGAGTTTAAATTTTAGGATCAGATTATCAAAACAAAATACAAACGAGTCAACGCGACTAGTAACTGTCCTTGTAATTCTCTTGTGTTCTTGTAACCTAACCAATATTTGTGTTATAATATATTTTAATTTATTACTGGATAACATTTTAAGATATTTTATTTTAAAAATCTTTATCTAGATATTATTTTAGTGAGCTATTCTCAACACTGGAATCATTTCGCTTAAACATTTGATATTAATTTTTTACGATGGATATTCAATAGTTAGTTAATAATTTCTCCTCAAACGATTTTTTATATTTTGTTGTAATTCAAAAATCAACTATAAATAGATACTTCAATTTTTCACCAAATGATTATGATAAAATATTACAACTGTCTAAAGGTACCTACATGATGAAATGTTCAAAATATTTCTACTTTTTTTGACCTATTTAGAGACGGGTCTAAAAGCTTAAACAATTAATACAAGGTTCCTCATAAGTTGTTATAATTGCAATTTTTAAATAATGAAGATACATTATGTACGATTATTTTTTTTTTGTAAGCATTTTAAGTACAGATTTTTACAAAATTAGTTAATATACCGCGAACGTTATTTTGGTTAAAAATTTATAAAATGTTCAATTTTTATAGCTAAAGATCGGAAATTTAAAACGAGATTTCTCATGAGTGGGTAATACTGTTACCAAAAATCTAAAAAATATATAAGCACAGTTTTTTTTATAGAAATTTTAAGTTGAAACTTGGACGAAATTAGACGTTTTATAATGCAATATTTTACTATTAGTAAAATGAGTTACTTAAATAGCTGTAAATTGTAATATAAATATAACTTTATAATATCATCTAGATAGCTACCTATATTTACCAATATTATACTATTATATGTATAGGAATATATAAGAATCAGGTGAAAATTACATTGGAATTGAAACTAAAGCAATTATTTATATTTTTATTTAATATAGGTATTACTATAGTACATTATACTCAAAAAATATTATGCAAACCATTAACCAAATAATATACATATATTTACATGGGTATAAGAAAAAAAATGTAATAGTTCTATTTATTACTGAATGATATGATGTACCTACCTAGCTAAAAGCTTAAATAACTAAATCAGTGACTGTGAATATCGTTTTTAGATGATAAAAACTTGATTTTCATTTTGAGGAGGCTTTTACTGGAGATAGTCTTAACTGTAATATGTTAAAATATTAAATAATGCTATATTGTAGACATAATGCGGTAAATATTATAACTTGTGAAAATATTTTTTAGATTAAAAATTGGTGGGGCGGAGGTTGCTCCCACGACTTAGTTCTAATAGCCAATATCCAATGGGGGAGGTGGATATATAAGTAATTGTTCATTGCCACACCTAAAAAAAAATAGTTCGGCGCCACTGGCTAAGGCTAGACAATTTAATACAAGGTATTTCATACAAGTAGTCTGTAGTTCATACTTTTAGTCTGTAATTTTTAGGTAAAAGACTTTTACCTAAAAATTACAGATAATTTATGAAAATTGGTATCCAAATACAATGTTCTTTCAAAAATGAATTCATTCTGGTAAGACATATATGAAATTTACTTCTTGCTTACTATAGTTGACAGTTAACTTGATTAATATTTTTTTGAAAAACTAACAATAATACGGGCAATGGGGGGGCTTCAGCCCTTTAGCCCCCCCCCCCCCTGCGGACGCCACTGCATGCACGGTTATACGTGTACGTATATTATAATGTAAATTACGTACATTAAAGTACGTTCAAAAGACCAAGAATAATAACAAGAGACCGAATATTCCCGGACAGTAAAAATCCGGAATAAAATATTATTCAGACCATATTATTGTGTTGGGCATTATATTATAATCCTGGAAATTCAAAATATTCGTGGACTGCATCATATTGTCACTTACCTTGGACATCTGGAAAGTATACTCCCAGACCGTATTTATCCTGGTTTCTCTAGGTCATATTTTGTACTTAATGTGGTAAACAAAGTATAGGGATAGGTTTTAAATTTTCCAAATGAATGTCAATACAGATTACAATAATTAGAGCTGATATCTCATAACAGATCTTATCGTGGCAGTTTGTAGACTTCAGTATGTCACTATTTTAAAAATGCACTATTATGTTGCTAGTGCATTGGGGTTGAATTAAATGACAAAATAATTAAATTGCCAACAAATTATAAGCGATCACGTGACCTTAGGATTGACATAATATTTTAGAAAACAATTTAATGGTAATAACACTTCATATTAAAATAATATAATATATTAAAAAAATGTTATGTAGGTACACCAGTATTGTTATTAATATTATTTCATCTGTGAGTGAGACATACCATCTTCTTCGTCCGTCTCAATATACGACTCACACGTCTCGTATTCATCAGAAATATCAAACATTTTCATCTTATGACCAAATGATAATACGTCCGCGTGATTGAAATAAAATTCCATAAATGCTTCATAAACTAACCAATTATTGCTCTTGTGTTTATATTTTCTGAAAGATAATTGAAAAATCCATCTATCGGGATTCGCGAATTCATATGTATCATTAAACAAATTGAAGAATGATTCAACGGTTTTGTTGAAAGGAACTTCGGTGCCTTCAAGTGTTACATTTTTGATTTGCTGTGTCACATTTTTCCCCTCATTCCAATTAATCTCACAGCCAGTCAGTTTGTACTCAAAGGTGTAGTCTTTACCAACACTATGAGAAATATTGTCCACAGGGTACTCCTCGAACTTCAAGGTCAGCACATTATTAGTGAACCATTCGTTAGGTGTGAAGTGAAATTCCATAGTATATCCTATATACTCTTCCGATCGATTACACCTGATATCTGACAAATGTCTGATGATTTGCACGTCATGTGGTTGTATTCGCCTTTTGAATTTGTACGTGTTGTCCATGTACATAAGCCAAAAGTCCGGTATTCCTTTCGGTTCTTGTCTACTTGCCTCTTTTGATTCAAGTCCTATTTTCCCTGGTTCATCATCTTCATCAGAACTACTACTGTATTCGCCTTTGGTAGGCTCGTAGTTTCCTTGAATTATATCAGTTTGCTTGTTAATATACGGCTCGTACACTTTTTGGTATTTCAATTTAAGAAGATGAACTTCGGCATTGAATCTCATTTTAATTTCATGCTGGGCTAAAATTAGTTTTTTTAGAGCCCGCACGCGCTTTTTCACTTCTGGCGACATATTTGTTAGTTTATTTTTCAAGTGCGCGTTGTTTGTTTCACCACGATCGCAAAAATAGATTTAACAGAAATTATATTTTATAAGAACAAAATGTTGAATATGTGCAAATGCTTTTTTAAAAACTTTCTATAAAAAAAAAATTGTTAGGTTGCCATAAAATTTATTATTCATGACAAAAAAAAAATGAGAAGTACTGTACTAGATTATAGTGTAAAATATCTAAATATAATAAATATAACTAGCTGTCCCGGTAAAAGATCATGTTTTTAATGTTGCATTTCAATTTGAAAACTACATATACATACATTTTTCACTGTTTATTTTTCTAACATAATTTATATTTATTGAAGAAATATATAAACAAATTTTTTGACAAAGGTTGGTTGCTCAATACACAGTCAAATATTAACCAAATATATCATAACGCATTATGTCAAAACAAGAATGATATTCACTTACAAAAGAAAAAAATGAGCAAGGTGCTAAAAACAAGAAAACACCAAAAAAACTAAACAATTTTTCAAAATTAGTTTGAAGTTTATAAGATAACTATTATTGAATAATATTATAATATAAATAATATACCTAATCATAAATTAAATCAATTGATCAATTGATAAAAATACTACACCACTTCAAGTACTTTCTGAAATAAAAAAAACGAACGCATTTCCCAACTTGAATATTGCCTTACGAATTACGTTAACAATTCCTCTTACATCAGCTGGAGCAGAGAGAACATTCTCAAAATTAAAACTTGTAAAAACTTATTTACGAAGTACCATGTCACAACAAAGACTTACTGGACTTGCTACAATTTGTATAGAAAAATAACTTTCAGAACAACTAAATTATGAATATATAATAAATGATTTTGCATCTAAAAAAGCTAGAAAAATTAAAGAATTATAACTGACAACATTTTACTTTAACAATTTATTATGTATTTAAAATATACAGAAAAAAAAAATATTGTTAATTGTTCAGCACACTTATTTTTTTTGAACTTCGTTTATAAATATAAGTTATTACTTATCTACTAGTATTTTAACCTTACTTATTAGTTTATTTTCTATGCAAATAATAATATTATGATTAGGTATACATTTGTCATTTATTGTTTTGATTTTCTTTACATACCTACTTAATGTAAAATAATTGTTGGTTTTAAAATCGATGGACAAAATTATCTTTTGAATTAAATCTATAATTAATTTGGAATGGGGATGTAATGTATAAGATACGAATGAGGGCCCCACATTTTTTACCTGCCCCGGGCCCCGCAAAACCTAGAGCCGGCACTGCGTACATTAAAGTACGTTCAAAGGACCAAGAATAATAACAAGAGACCGAATATTCCCGGACAGTAAAAATCCGGAATAAAATATTATTCAGACCATATTATTGTGTTGGGCCTTATATAATCCTGGAAATTCAAAATATTCGTGGACTGCATCATATTGTCACTTACCTTGGACATCTGGAAAGTATACTCCCAGACCGTATTTCTCCTGGTTTCTCTAGGTCATATTTTGTACTTAATGTGGTAAACAAATTATACAGGTTTTAAATTTTCCAAATGAATGTCAATACAGATTACAATAATTAGAGCTAATATCTCATAACAGATCTTATTGTGGCAGTTTGTAGACTTCAGTATGTCACTATTTTAAAAATGCACTATTATGTTGCTAGTGCATTGGGGTCGTATTAAATGACAAAATAATTAAATTGCCAACAAATTATAAGCGATCACGTGACCTTAGGATTGACATAATATTTTAGAGAATAATTTAATGGTAATAACACTTCATATTAAAATAATATAATATATTAAAAAAATGTTATGTAGGTACACCAGTATTGTTATTAATATTATTTCATCTGTGAGTGAGACATACCATCTTCTTCGTCCGTCTCAATATACGACTCACACGTCTCGTATTCATCAGAAATATCAAACATTTTCATCTTATAATGACCAAATTATTGTATATCCGCGTGATTGAAACAAAATTCCATAAATGCATCTTTAACTAACCAATTGCACTTGTGTTTATATTTTTTGAAACATAATTGAAAATGCCATCTATATATTAGATTCGTGAATTTATATGTATCATTAAACAAATTGAAGAATGATTCATATTCAACGGTTTTGTTGAAAGGAACTTCGGTGCCTTCAAGTGTTACATTTTTGATTTGCTGTGTCATATTTTTCCCCTCATTCCAATTAATCTCACAGCCAGTCAGTTTATACTCAAAGGCGTAGTCTATACCGTACCATTTAACACTATCAAAAATATTGTCTGGAGGGTACTCCTCGAACTTCAAGGTCAGCACATTATTAGTGAACCATTCGTTAGGTGTGAAATGAAATTCCATAGTATATCCTATATACTCTTCCGATCGATTACACCTGACATCCGACAAATGTCTGATGATTGGATCGTCATGTGGTAGTATGCGACTTTTGAATTTGTGCGAGTTCTCGATGTAATTAAGCCAAAAGTCCGGTATTCCTTTCGGTTCTTGTCTACTCGCCTCTTTTGATTCAAGTCCTATTTTCCCTGGTTCATCATCTTCATCAGAACTACTGTATTCGCCTTTGGTAGGCTCGTAGTTTCCTTGAATTATATCAGTTTGCTTGTTAATATACGGCTCGTACACTTTTTGGTATTTCAGTTTAAGAAGATGAACTTCGGCATTGAATCTTTTTTTTATAGACAGTTTTTAAAAAAGCATTTGCACATATTCAACATTTTGTTCTTATAAAATATAATTTCTGTTAAATTTATTTTTGCGATCATGGTGAAACAAACAACGCACTTGAAAAATAAACTAACAAATATGTCGCCAGAAGTAAAAAAGCGCATGCGGGCTCTAAAAAAACTAATTTTAGCCCAGCATGAAATTGAATTGAGATTCAATGCCGAAGTTCATCTTCTTAAACTGAAATACCAAAAAGTGTACGAGCCGTATATTAAATTATATATAATTATAAAACTGTCTATAAAAAAAAAATTGTTAGGTTGCCATCGTCAAAAATTACTATAATATTATATCCGTGTATTATTATTTTTATGTGAGAAAATAAAATGAAGAACAGCTGACTACGAGAACGGCTGTCTACAAGCAACCCGAGGAACGGAAATCGCAGGCTATAGTGAGACCATGGCATAAAAAATGAAGCACCGCTCCGTTTCCCCAGCCCGTCGGCCATGTCCCGTCGATTAGAGCGACCAATCGCGTACCTTCGCAGCGGCGGCGGTCGGTTTTAAAACGTTTTTCGTCATCACCTCTTTTCCTATCATTTGATATTTTCGGAAAATTAGCTGTTTTTACACGATTTCGGCTCTTTTCGCCCTTTTTTTACTTAATTCGAAGCCGCCGGTGTGCGGTTTATATTCGTGCGCCGCCGTCCGCAATGTCGATCGAAAAATACACTCCCGACCGGACTTTTTTGCCGATTTTTTCCTTTTCTCACACCGTTTCGTCTATTCGCACGCCGTTTGTGCCCGAATCGTGTAGTCGACGTCTTTTCAAAGCCGTTTATTTGCGCTTTTCTCCCGAAATCGGTTCGTTCGGCGACCGACCGACCGTACGCGTGTATATACGTGTATAATATAATTTTTCCCTATGATTTAATGATTATTAACGGAAAACGCTTATAGTAGCTTAACGCTAGTATAATATATGGCGTATTACAAGCGAATTATATGCGATTACATCGATGCACATGACAGTATGTCATCGAATATATCGGTTTACGTCGCTCCGTAGACGCACGGCTTAAGTAGTTAAGTGTTGATGTTTTGACCGTGTTTCATATCTCAAACTGTGTCCGAGTAGGTAAACCGTCAGTGCCATGTGGTTTACACGGCCGCCCGGAACTCGACTTTTTTCACTATATTTTTCATATAAATTAAATGATAATATAATAATACAGGAACATATCGTACATTATTATTATTTAAAGTCATTGTCATGTTATATCACACAATAAATAGGTTCATATTTTATTTGTTTTATTAGGAATTATTATAATTGCATATTTTTTTAAATTTCCATGATTGTTATATAAATATAGTTTGTATTTTATTTCGGATTGCCTACCTAGGTGGCTAACTTGAAAGTTAATCTTGATTTTGACTTGAGATGACTGGCTTGCTAGACACTCCAACACGGTTTTCGACTTTACACTTTTTACATAAGAAAAGGCACCGGACATGCGAAGGCACATACCTCTCTATATGATATACCTACCTACTTTATATATACTCTGTTCAAAATAAGATCGTGACCCGGCGGCGACCAGTTTTCGTCGGGCGGCGGTCAGACATATGGCCAGATGCCGTCCCCACTACAGCGACGCGTTGGGCGCAGCCACGGAACAAAGCCACGCCCATGCGCACAACTCGGCCGCCTGGTCACGATCTTATTTTGAACAGAGTATAGGTGATAGACGGATTGCTCATTTTAGTTTCGCCTTAAACGGTGATCTTTGACTTGATAGACACTTTAACATGCAGGTTTTTGCATTTTTTTTTTAAATTAATATATATACACTATAGGTACATGTTTATATGTATTGTATTGGTTAATATAATAGTATGTATCTAACTATCTACCTATGTGTTAATTTTTTTTAGGAATTATAATTGCACATTTCTCAAAATGTTCATTGTTATATTATTATATCACACAATAAATACATATCATATTTCAATATTTGTTTGTATGTATATTATATATAGTTTGAAATGTTTGAATTTTTCGTAAATTATTTCGTAAGTTGTGTGATAGGGTTTTCACTTATAGCCGCTTGACGTCGGGTCTGCAATCCACCGCAGGTTAGGATTGCCTACCTGATTTGCTGTGGCACATTGTCCGCGATCCGACGAAGTCGGATTGCCTAACTAAGTGGCTAACTTGAAAGTTAATAGATTTTGACTTGAGATGACTGACTTGCTAGAAACTCCAACACGGTTTTCGACTTT